CACCCCCCATCAACCCTGAGTTTGTTCTCAGTTCTCAACAGTCTTCAAGAGACATTCTAGTAAGAAGTTGCTACAGCTGATGTCAAAGTGGTTCTCTAGGTATGTTCTCTAGGATTTTTATGTTTTGTTTTTTTTTTAGGCCTTTCATCCATTTTGAACTTATTTTTATGTATGGTGTAAGAAAATGGTCTAGTCTTATTCTTTTGAATGTAGATTGCCAGTTTTTGTAATACCATTTGTGAAGAGATTGTCCTTTTTCCATTGGATAGTCTTTCCTGCTTTGTCAAAGATTAATTTACCATATAGTTGTGGATTTATTTCTGGGGTTTCTATTCTGTTCTGTTGATTGATGTGTCTATTTTTTTGTGCCAGTACCATACTGTCTTGATCACAACAGCTTTGCAATATAACTTGAAGTCCAGAATTCTGATGCCTCTAGCTTTGGTTTTCTTTTTCAAGGTTGCTATGGCTATTCCAGGTCTTTGTGGTTCCATAGAAGTTTTAGGATTGTTTGTTCTAGCTTTGTGAGAAGTGCTAGTGGTATTTTGATAGGGATTGCATTAAATGTGTAGATTGCTTTGGGGAGTATAGACATTTTCAAAATATTTATTATTCCAATCCATGAGCACAAAATGTTTCTCTGTGTAATCTTTAATTTTTGTCATCAGTATTTTATAGTTTTCAGAGTACAGACCTTTTACCTCTTTGGTTGGGTTTATTCCTAGGTATCTTGTGGTTTTGGATGCAGTTGTAAATAAGATTGATTCCTTGATTTCTCTTGCTTCTGCTTCACTGTTGGTGTATAGAAATGGAACAGATTTCTGAATGTTGATTTTATATCCTGTGATTTTACTGAATTCGTGTATCAGTTCTAGCAAGTTTTTGGTACAGTCTTTCAGGTTTTCTACATAGAATGTCATGTGATCTGCGAATAGTGAAAGTTTGACTTCTTCCTTGCCAATCTGGGTCTTTTATTTCTTTTTGTTGTCTGACTGGTATGGCTGAGACTTCCAGTACTATGTTAAATAACAGTGGTGAGAGTGGACATCCTTTTCTTGTTCCTGACTGTAGAGGAAAAGCTCTCAGTTTTGCCCCATTCAGGATGATATTAGCTGTGGGTTTTTCCTACATGGCTGGCCTTTCTTATGTTGAGTAGTGTTTCCTCTAATCCTACTTATTTGAGAGTTTTTATCATGAATGAATATTGTACTTTGTCAAATGTGTTTTCTGCATCTTTTCAAAGGATCATATGTTTCTTATTCTTTATTTTATTAATGTGGTATAAATAAATCGCACTTGGTCATGGTGAGTGATTCTTTTAATATACTGTTGAATTCGGCTTGATGGTATTTTATTGAGAATTTTTGCATCCATGTTCATCACGATAATCGCCTGTAGTTCTCTTTTTTTAGTGGAGTCTTTATCTTGTTTTGGTATCAAGGTAATGCTGGCCTCAAGAATGAATTTGGAAGTTTCCCTTCCACTTCTGTTTTTTGGAAGACTTTGAGAAGAATAGTTATTAATTCTTCTTTACATGTTTGGAGAATTCACCTGTGAAGCCATTTGGCCCTGGACTTTTGTTTGTTGGGAGACATTTGATTACTGATTCTATTTTTTTGGTGTTTATTGGTCTGTTCAAGTTTTCTCTTTCTTCCTGTTTCAGTTTTGGTAGTTTGTATGTTTCTAGAAATTTATCCATTTCTTCCAGGTTGTCCAATTTGTTAGCATATAGTTTTTCACAGTATTCTCATATAATTTTTTGTTTTTCTTTGGTGTTGGTTGTTATTTCTCCTTTCTCTTTTGTGATTTTATTTATTTGGGTCTTTTGTCTTTTGTTTTTAATAAGTCTGGTTGGGGTTTATCAATTTCATTAAGTTTTTAAAAGATCTATTTCATTGATCTGTTCTATTGTTTGTTGTTGTTGTTGTTGTTGTTGTTGTTGTTGTTGTTTCTCTATAATTTATTTCTTCTCTTTATTATTTCCCTTCTTCTGCTGGGTTGAGG